AGTCACAATTAGTTCACCTCAGGAATTATTACCTTGGCCAAGGTGGTTATATTTTCTGTGCTGATGGGGGGTTTGTTTGTCTGTCTGCAGAATTATGGGGAAAACTACAGGCCCAATTGTCATTCAACTTGGTGGAAGGGAGTAGGTTGGACCAAGGAGAAATCCATTAAATTTGAGTGACGAGGTGGATAATACAATTATTTTTCTGTGGATTTTCTGACCTGCGCGAAACCTGTGAAAGTGAACAGATTCACATATGATAGACGACTGGACTATTGGTCTTGGTAAAGGTCTGCACTCTCTGTGTGCCCCTCTAGTTTTTTGGTTTGATTGTTGAAACTGGAAAAAACATTTACCAAGAATTCTGACATTAAGCTATGCCACTAAAATCGCTGTTCTATGTGGATGTTCAAACTTTACTATAGTTTCAGCTGACATGAGGGTGACTAGATAATGAACATTTCTTTCCAAGCAGACCATCACGATCAGGGCCCAAACTGCTCCCTAATTGACACTTTTGGTCCATTTGGCCTAAATCTAGGCCACCAACAGTTCAAATTGGCCCTTACTGTATTTGCTGTGGTACACTCTGTCACCGTGCAGTGCCAGGAGACCTGCTGCTACACCCAGCAGGGCAGAGCGGATGATTAAATGATCATCTCCAAGGTGGTGAACAGCATTAGGCTGTCTGCCAAGCCTATTAGACAACTTACCTCCGCCACACATCATACGCATCCACTGGAAGGACAGTAAAACCTTCTGAAGTTTCCCAAACTCTGACATGTACTAGCAAATTAGAGGGAAAGCAGATATAAATTGAGTTTGAGAATAAAAATTAGTGGTAAATTTTATTAGAGCATATGTGGGTAGTCAAAAATATCCAAATCAAGAAGACATGCTGCTACTTTTCTAAAATTGTACTTATGAAGAAAAATAGTAGGAATTGTAAAGATCTACTTAAGCTAAGTAGAAGTTAATACAGCTTACTTAAATTATAGGAAAATGAGATTAAGATGCATGGTTGCAAGATGCTTTTTTATGACTCACACAGAATTTGAACACTCTGACAATAAGACTGAAATTCCATCAAAATCCATCTAGAAAAATATGGAAATCAAAATGTGAACTTCATTTTGTGATTTCAAATGATGAAATTGTATATGAGCTCTGTCTTTTGCTTCCTGCCATGCAGAGATGGACCTCTAACCCTTTCAGCTACATGGTGATGGAGGGTGGGAATGTGGGGGGATTGATCATTTCCATTTTTACACTTTATACTTCTACTCTCCTACATACATACTACTATATTGTAGTTTTTACTCCACTACATTTATCTAATAGCTTGAAATGTAACATAAACACATGATACAGTTAAAATGTTGTCATAATTAGCTTGTGGTGACAACTTAATACCTGCCTTATGTTCAGAGACAATGTGTTTTGAAACACTACATTTATGTAACGAGTGGAGTCTCATATAGTTGGGTGGATGACTGACACTGACTCCAGCCCTTTAATGCTGGATAGTGGATAGTGGGTAGTGTACTGCAACATTGTATGTTCTGGTGGAAAATACATTGTCAGTGAAAATGTTTCTAACAGTTAAGCATCAACATTGTTTTAATTGCCAGTTTCTTTAATTAATAACATTTCCTCATTATGTTAATGAGGTAGTACGTTTGTATGTATGTTTCACCCAAAACATATCTGCTGTTGCAAATTAGTTGTAAATAGATGTAATTTTAAACTTTTCAAACTAGGTATGGCCAAAGCTTCATAGGGGGTCATGAGGCCTTCTTAATTTTAAGGTGTGTAAAAACTATACAAAAAATATACATAGTATATATTTAGTTATTTTTTTTAAAGAACTGAATGTAAAGTAAAGTTAATTGTCTAATACAACAATAGCCAAGCGTCATGGACAAGAAAACACTACATTTGTCAAAAAATAAGCCTAGTAAGTCTGTACGATTGTTAAAAAATTCTAAGTAAATACATAGACAGAGAATTGGATAAAAAGTTCCCTAAACAAGAAATAATCTGGACTAAACTAAAACCAGGTCCACTTTGACCAGCTACAACACCCACATGCTACATTTGTATTGATTCATCAGTATCAACAATTGGATGATTTTTGATAAGTTTTACTTTTGATACTTTAAGTGCATTCCACTGATAAAACTTTTGTACTTTTTCTTAAGTGGGATCACAAAAAATGCACAACCTTTCCTTTCTTTTTTTTTTTTTTTTTTACATTGCTTCAATACTTTTTCCACTGCTGCTTTTAACCAGCGTTTTTCTTGATTAATGGTTTGTGGTTCAATTCCTGTTAAGTCATGAAAATGTAGCTAAAGAGAGTAAAATCTGTACCCTCTGCTGTTCTGTCTGATTCGTGCTGATTGTAGAGCACCAAAGCCTTTCAACACACTCGGCAGAACAGAGGACAGAGTGGGCAGATGAGGATGAGGAAAAGAACAATACAGAAGGAAAAAAAATGCTGATCTCTCTCTCTCTCTCTCACTCTCTGTGTCTCTCTCTTCCTTTCTCCCTCCCTCTCATTCAGTATGCTGACTGTTTCTGTACAGAAAACTGACTCCCACGCTATTCTTCCTGGCCTATTTATCACATTGATCAGCTTATAAAGAAGTCGGATGTACACAGGAGGCTCGCGAGAAATGTGCATATGTGAGAGATCATGATTGTCTTTACACCTTCTGACAGATGCACGCTGCTCTCGGTACTCGATGGTTAAGTCTTGCTGACATGGTCATTTTACTCACTTGGCCTTGTGACATTTAATCACCATAGATTAAACTGTTATCGCAGCCTTTTTCCTTTACACAATTATTTTGTTGCAAAAAAAGCATGAGTAATAGCACTGAAAAGCAGCAGAAATTGATAAAGGCTGCAGGAATAAATCGGAGCAAAGCTCATAATGTTCCTGTGTGGGCTGTTCAGAAAACACAGGAAAGTAGAGCTTAGCCCTGTCACAATAATTACATTGTCGACTATCGTACGATATATATTCGATATGTAATTATCAACTTATTGTTTAAGAATGTCACCAACATTTTATCCAACATAATGCCAGAATGAACAGCAGTCCTTTTCCCTATAGTGATATTCCCCGAGAGTCCATTTGATTCATTGTTTTTGTAGTGTGGTTTTATTTATGTTCTATCTATTAAAGATATTTTAATACTCAAATGTCAATGTCTGAATATTTTTAAGGTTCATTGCAGCTTTTTACAATAATTTTTAAGTGACACTAGCTTATTTTTGTAAGTTACAGAAACATGCAAAGGGGAGAGATGGTGGAGTGATGGGGCTGCCGCGTTACCAAACATTCCTGGTTCTTTTACTAGGTATTTTTGTTTTCACAGTACAAACAGTCAGTGTCACTTAAAATTACCAATAAAAGCTGCTTAATCAAGAAAAGTACGTGTTACTAACCATTGATGTAATCAGTTTCAACCATTTTTGACTTAAACAAACTTCTCAGGTTTTACAGTGAAAGGATTAGTCAATTAATCAGTTACTTGAACAACAGACAATAGTTTTTCTATTTTCAGATCTGATGAATCGTTTAATGAATTTTTTAAGCAAAAATGGCAAGAAATTCTATCATTCCCCAGCTTCTTAAATGTCAATATTTGCTGCTTTTTTTGCCTTCTGGGATAGTAAACTGAATATATTTGGGTCACGCACTGTTGGTCAGACAAAAGAAGACATTTTAAGATGTCACTGGGAGCTTTGGGAGCTTTTGATTGGCATTTTTTGGTTATTTGCTTAGATTTTTTAAATCCCAAACATTAACTCTGCCACCTGCACAGATCTAAACTGAACTTACTATCCAGTTGTCCATGAAGGTAGCACGATTCAGTACGCGTCCTGGATGTGTTGGGAAGCCAACCTTTATCCTCAATCATGCCTACAAACTGTAATTTACCCACAAGAGCAGGAGGCGAAACATCACCACCCTGAAACCAGTAATCCAATCGACCTGGAATCATCACCTCAAAATAGCAATACGTCCACAATGCAAGTCTCAGTCTCAGGGGAATGAACTCATAACTCCACTGCATCGTACATCACATCACATCGCACCATATACGATGAGCTGAAATGGATGAATGAATGGCATTTGCATTTCATCAGCATAAAGCTGTGATCCTGCTGCTGCTGCTTTCTTTAGAGATGCAGTGGTGTATCCTCAGAATATCAATGGCAGCAGGGGAGCTCTGGGCCTGTTATTGCTTTCAGTGCGTTTCAGTGGCGTGAATAATCGGCCAAATGTATTCCTACTGTCTCAGTGCTGTTGTTGCAGAAATGGAAAAATCTGTACAACACTCCTAATTAACTGTAACAAGACGTGGCCTATACCCTTTAGACTACAGCATATTGTTTCCAGGGAAGAAACAGACAATAAGACTGCTGCACAAACACCGTATTTGTATTTCTATGGTGTTTCTATGGGGCAGTGAGCCAGTGATGCTCAATATACTGACCTCAGCGTCCCTGATTATGTTTGATGGTGTCCCTATAATAGCCTTCGCATGGGAATTTACAGTTTGGTGCTGTTTTGTGTGCATTATGGCATGTTTTTTTTTATTTTCTTCACAAGCTTTGAAAAATGTATCTTGGGTCATTTTATTGTCTTGTGTGCACAATAGGGAGATTCTGGTGGATTCAGGGGGCAAACAAAATGCTTCTGAAATAATATGTGTGTGTGAAATAATAAGGTGTATGTAAAGGTGACTGATCATCTTAAGGCTCCATCAAAAGAAGATTGCATTCATTTGAAATAAGATCACAGCAACAACACTCTGGTGGCTGTCTGCCTACTGCAAATACAACATGAGGGTCTGTTGAGTTTTGGGTGGGTTTTGCCTAATTCCAGGGCCTTGTTTTTTTGTTTTGTTTTGTTTTTTCATCTTTGTGACAGAAAAACCAGAGATATAGTGCATGCTGTAAGCGACAGTGGTTGCAAGAGTGCCTACCGCACAGCAGCTGCATCCAGGCGCAGGTCTTGTAAACGGTGGAGGTGTTGCAGAAGAAGAAGAGCGCCATGCAGGCGATGCAGCTGAGGATCAGCACCATGGACAGCAGCACGAACACCGAGGCCGCCTTGAAGGCTCCGGACGGGATGGAGCTGAAGTCGGAGAAGCTGCCCACGCAGGTGAGCTCCCGGCTGGGCGACGGCCCGGTGCCCACGCAGTAGTGGAAGAGGCCGAAGTAGCCGGCCTGCGGCGTGTTGACGCTGTCGCCGATCCAGTAGGGCTGGATGAACACCACCACGTTGACGATGGCGAAGCAGATGGTGAAGATGGCCCACAGCACCCCGATGGCCCGGGAGTTACGCATATAATTGTCATGGTAGATCTTGGAGGCTTCTTGGGAAGGCAACATGTTTGGTCGTATTTTTTTTTTTTTGTTTGTTTTTTTTTTTTTTTGTGTGTTTGTTCTCCTTATATATCTCTTTCCACCCCCGTCCTCCCCCTCTTTAGACTCTTGCAAGAAAAAATGTAAATCTTTAAAAAAAAATTCCCAGACAGCTCCACACCCCTCACTGCCCAGGTCTTGTGTTATTTTTTTTCCTTCTCTCTATCAAAGCTTTCCTGCGCTAATATTTCTCCCGCTTTGGCTGTTTCTTATGTGGCTGTTAAAGGCTATTAAAAGGGCCTACACGGTACAAATGTAACCTGCAAATATGCATATGATGTGACAGGACTAAGCATTGTAAAAATGAATGAGGGAAAATGCTACATTGAAGCAATACAAAATCATAGCCTACCTGTACCACTAATGAATAATTTACCAAGACCAGTGATTCAACATTGCTGTCTAAGGCTCGTTTCCTTGGGGCTACACCATGAATGATTAAAAAAACCCATCAAAACAGGATTCTCTTTATTTCACAGTGGTCGGGTGGAGGGGGGGTTAAAGCTGTTTTTCATCCTCATCCATCAGTCCACAGCTATCTTCGGGATATCCTTTATTACCATCCGTGAGATGAGATGCGTCTCGTTGCCTGTAGCGCCAGCGGTGGACCCCGTTTTTACCTTCCGAGGCATCCGTGGGGTGCTCCCCTTCCTCTGCTCGCCTTCACTGTCCACGCAGCATGTGAAAATCAAACGGGGGGGTGAATTAAAAAAAAAAAAAAGACCGAGAACAGGTTTCACCACGGACCCTCTGTCAAATTTCAACAGTCCTTTCTCGTAAATCCGACATCCTCCACCGCCTCGACTCCATTATCATCATGGTTTTTGTCGTAGCCTTTATCCAGTATGTCTCCTCTCCCTCTCTCTCTCCCCCTCTCTCTCTTTCTCTCTCTTACTCTCTCTCTTTCTCCGTCCTCCTCCTCCTGTTTCTCTGCGCGCCCCCCGGAAGATGCTGATGTTGTACTGATGACAGCGATGGGGGCGCGTTCACGTGCGCGGCCACAGCAGCAGCAGCATCAGCGGGGGGACGTTTGCATCAAAGCGCGTCTCCGCCCCTGTTCACCTTGAATTTGAAATTAGACCAACAAATATCCCCTCACGTTCGGATGAAACATGAGCGTTTTCATGAGAAGGACCCCTGTTTGATAAACGTTTTTAAACCCAGGGACCCCAGTGTTACTGTGGGAGGTGAAAGAGTGGATGGATCAAACCTGAAGTCAAAATAGGCCTACTCCAGTCCTGTTATATTCCAGCTAATTTACAATAGCCTTTAGTCAATGCAATGAAGCCAAAGCCCAACTAATCCTTTAAATCAGCTTAGAAAACATATAGATCCCTATCAGAACATCTGAAATTGTGTATTTTACCACGTCAGTCCAGATCCTGAGATTATTTTCTTTATTTACAATGTCACATGCGTCATATATCACATGAGCAGTCATCACAATGTAAAATGTCTAAAAACACATTTGCATGTATGTGGGTTACATGTAAACAGTGGTGTAAAAATAGAAATATCTTCACTATGTGATTTGTATATAGTGTAGACTGGTGTGTCGTGAGTTATAGTTTTATTAATGTATTTATATTTTTTAGGATGTATTTTTTTGATGAAACCAAAGTCAAAGTTTTCTTATTCATGTACTACAGTAAAATGTGCAGCGTTTCCAGGACAAAACGTTGCACTAAAAAATCCTTGGGAGCTTTAAAATTTCAAGCCCCCATTCAGAGCACTGGGATTTGAAGCCAATGTGACACAGTGGCCAAACTGTGTAATGACAACATCAGGTGATGCACACTGGCCAAAAAATACCTTTTCCATAAGCTCACATTGTGAATGAAGTGGTTGTAAAAGAGTCGATACATTTTCTTGACAACCTTGCATCGGAATTTCAACCATTTGGTCAGATTACATCTGGAAAGTCTATAAAAGCTGCACAATTAAATCATTTTATCCTCATTGAAGTTAGCAGAGAGCTAAACTGGAAGTTAGCTGGCTCATCTGGCAGAAGTCTCTGGTGCACATGCTCTATGGAACACATAATACGGAATTTTCAATTCAAATTTGAAACTTCATTGGCTTCATGTGCCACTGAGCAGTTACCAAAGTTTCCATTCCTTTTTAGTTTATCACACCTAAAAAGACTGAAAATCAAATCATCCTGTATGTACATTTTTGTGGAATAGTATTCATTTGATAATCATGTGCTTTCTTTGGGAGCAACAGACAAAGGTTTGGACAATAATGTCCCACCATATATATTGTTATTGTTATGGCAAAAAACCAACAGAAGTCATGCCACCCATGCTATCATGTTAATACTTAATGTTGCTTATCATGTTAATACTGATAACATGATAAGCAGGTATAGTGTTTACAATGTTCACCATCTTAATTTAGCATGTTAGCATACTAAAAGTTGCTAATTAGCACTAAGTATAGCTGAGGCGAATGGGAATTTCATTATATATGCGGATATCATAAACGTGTTTGAATTTTGACCTTGATGATGGTGCTTGATGAGTTTGGTTTGGGGGTTATTTAGGCAGTGACAGCTAGAGAGAAACTGCAAAGGCAGGGGAGAGAGAGGGTATGATATGCAGCAAAGGGCCCGAGTTGGAATTGACCTCAGGCGGCTGCGGTAGGAACTTGATGCATGGGACGCGCTCTACCAGGAGGTACCTATACTGAAAAGTATTCGACCTGATAAGGACATAAATGTATCAAATGTGATGACAATCCATTTAATAGTTGTTGAGACATTTCACTGAAAATTGCAGAACCTCATGGTGACGCTAAAGCAAAGTCAGGGGATCAAAGTTATTAGGTGCCAATCTATCTGGTAGATGTTGAGATATTTGACAGGATAGTGCAAACTCTGACCTGCCGGTGCTGCCAGAGGTAAAGTCAGGGGACCATTAAATACACCAAAGATAATTAATGAATGTATTTATTTATTAAAATACTGAGAGGACAACAAACCACAACATCAGCTGCACTGCAGAAAATCTATTTCTAAGTCAGTCAGATGATCTGATATTTGATATTTGAAAATGTAGTGGACTGGTTTTGAGTGTTGAACCTGATGATCTAGTTGCTTCACTATGGGAAGGCTGGTTGGGACTGAATTTAAGTAAATGTCACTTGCTAATGGTTCGTGGATATTATATTTTACAGCTTTATCTTCAAACTAAATATTCCTGAACCAAGTCAGTCAATAACAGCTATGAGATCAATCTTCTGACATGTAGAAAGCCAGGCAGAGCTCTAAACCCCTGACTTCATGTTGTCAAACATAGTGTCCAAGACCGAAGCTGCGGCTATCTCTTCAGTTGCATCCGATGTAGTTATAAGGTTCATAGATCCGGCACTTTATGTACCACAATTATAATACCTGTCCCCAAAATCAATAGCTCTCTATCTATAGATAATTACATGTAAATGTGATGATTTCCAGCTTTGTAGACCATTTCCCGAGAAAATATTATAATGTTGTTCTGCAAACCAAACGTAACTGTATTTGCTTTGGAATTGACAGTACCTCTTGAAAGAGTAACCACTCTCTAATCCATGTGATGGCAAATGAGACAGCATAGTCAATTCCAACCCTGTGCTAGTCAGATGGGTCACTCCCTTATCAGTCGTCCTACCTTCGGTGAATCGAATCCCATCAGAGTGCATAAATCGACTATTTATCAACACTGAGTTTCGGTCTTACATACACTACAGGATATCTCCACATGAAAAGCATAAAATGACGGCTGTACTGCAGAGTGCATTACAGGAGCCACTTGTGCGTTCTTTATTCAGCCGTCCTTTTTCCTTCGGGGCCAGATGTTGCCTTAACTATTGAAGCCTTCATTCTCTGTCCATTAAAAGCTCCGTTACTCACTCTGGGGAAAAACGCATCTGCCCTCAAGCAAGCATATTCATGGAAAACTAGGCCAGGACAGTGGTCTCTGACAGAGTGTATGTTTTAGAGGTGGAACATACAAAGACTGTTGTGTATAATGGTCACTATAGGCACAGAAGGCAAGTTGTTTTTGGGTGGCTTTAGAACCAAAGCATGTTCCTTCGTGTTTCAACATGCTTGACAGTTCATCAAATCTGATTATT